CAAATTAAAAAAACTCTTTAACGTGATCTTTACTCGACGTTTCTGAAATGAAGTCTTGTTGTATGTGTTGAACATTCTCCGACTGTAGTAAATGAAGGTCTCGGTACCGTAAAGAAAGCAAGTTTCTGCTTAGTCACAGTGTAGAGATATTAGGTTATTTCGAGGCAGGAGAGATGAAAAATGAGCAATGGTCTCGCCGGGACTCGAATCTCGGAACTCTCGAAAACGCACTGAGTGTGCTAACCACTACCTACTAAGAAGACATACTAAGAAGGCGAGAGAAATACAGAGGCTGTTCACACATTTTTTAGACGATGTATATTGTATTCACAAAACTAAATTACATAAAATGTAATCAGAATTACATAAAATGTAATCAAAATTACATAAAATGTAATCATAGTAACATATCGTAGTAATCATAGTAACTAGTACTACTATGTAATCACAAAACTAAATTACATAAAATGTAATTAAAGTGTTTCTCATATAGAATTCAGCAGCGTGTCCTGCGTTGAGCGATATGCTTTGGAAGAAGACGATGCACATTGCGTTTTTTCGCTTTCTTAAGATTTAAATCAACTTTTTTCATTTTGTTTACAGTGGACACCGAGCATTTTAATGACTTTGCAGCTGTCCTTTGACTAGGGGGATTTTCGTTTAACATTAAACAACGTACCTTTGCAATAGTCGGAGATGTCCGTTTTTTCCTTGGATATTTGTTTGAAATTTTTGTCCCACTAGAGGCTCCAATTTGACGTTTTTTCCTTTCTTGTTGATGATATTACCTATCGACGCTTTAGATATCACAAACCATGACTCTCACATCGTTTTGGGATAACGGAGTATGCATATTTCTCTTCGGAAAGAGCGTAAATGTAGCCTTCGAACCACTACTTTGTTCAATTCGCCATTTTGAATAAAAACAAAACTTTCAAGCCACAGACGATAATTTTGACTTTTAGAAACATAGTACAATTCCAAGTATTTCTTTTGCAGCAAACGATTTTTTATTACCGCTTTCTAAAATCGTCTAAAAAATGTGTGAACAGCCTCTTTTAAAGGCTGTTCACACATTTTCCTGTACTACCCCTTTTAAAGGCTGATTGGGAATTAGGGGACTCAATTGCCAAATTATTGTGGTGGAGAATCATCAACCACCACCTTTATTTAGTTCGGAGAGGCGGGAGCAATACCTTATAACAGTTCAAAAAGAAATCGGGATTAAGTGGTTGTCATTTGGATGAAACTGTGACATGTAAAAATTTGCCTTTTCCCTGTTCTACAATGGTGAGGGATAAAATGAGTACAAATTGTACTTTTCTCAAGATTTTCCACGATAATTCTGTGAACAGTCTATTCACTATGTTAAACTCTTCAGCGATCATTCGAAGAGATGTGATTCGAAGAGAGTGACGATTTTCCAGCAACAGCTGCCGAATTTTTTCGACGTTCTTATCTTTTCGAAGTTATTACTCTTATTCGACGTTTATTATAGTGGGAGTCCAATCTTGATTTTATTATCAGTATCTTCACGACTATCACCAAATGGTCCATACCAAAGGGAAACATCGGATCATCTTAAACCTTAATCCCCATATGCTTTACAATAATTTTAAGCGCATCTTGACTTTGTCTTGCTTCACAGTCTTAAGTCTGTGAAGTTTCTTTAATTTAAATAACCAGTTAGTTTATGTTTGGAATCGTTACTATCACTTCCCTTTTTCCGTTTCTCAGCCAGAATGCAAATGCATTCGGGTGTATTTAAAGGGAGATTTTGAGATTGTTAGGCCACACAGTGTTTTGCCTGTTGAAAGCCACTTTATTTGTTACTTTAAGAAAAGTTCCTGACTTTGCGTTATAATTGCTGACAGTTAAATTCACGTCGGAGAAGTTCTGAGACAACTTCGCGTTGAAATTACTCTATGTACTGTTTTTCTGTTAGCTATTTAAATTCAGCTTAGCATTTGAATATCTATTTTGAGTTTCTTGCCATAAATTCTGCCGCATATGTAAGCACCAGGTGTGCTTCCTGTTCATCCTTTAAAGTTTTAAATAAAAGGCTCTTTTACACCGTTCTCACGTTTCTGTTCGCACTTTTAAGACTCAGAGATATAACGTCTATCAAAAGGCTCGTCACAGATTGCAGTGGTGAAAGACTTTAAATCTTCCAACTTAAATGTTATCGCTATTCTTTGTTGAGCTTTCGCCTCCATGAGAGCAGATATTAACTGAAACAAAGCAAACGATTAACTACATAGAATACTCTGACCGTATTCTGGCCGATATTTTAGGGAAAACAACTGAGATATCACAATAATAAATACTATCAGTTATTCTTTGTAACTTTGCTGCATTCTGCTAAGTAAAACTAGTCGTAAAACTTTGTAGACTGACTATAATGTGTTTTATACGAAACTATATTCAGAACTACAAATAGAGAAAAATACATGTTGGAAACTATCGCTGCGGGAACTACAGGGATCGAGGTTGTTTAGTAACCAAGAGCTATTAATATAAAAGGTAACACTATTATTTCTTTTAGCAGTTATATTTTTTCAGATATGCGGCTATTATGAATTTGAAGGTGATTAGGAGATTATCACCGATAGATAAGTCTTAAAAATGAAAAAAGAAAGCTATAAAATCTGCAAAATGCAGTTAAACGGTACATGCATGTACTAATACTGACTTAGAATTAATTTATGACAATTATAATTATTGATAAAACTAACAATTATAATTGTGCTTAATGCCTTGAGAGTAAAACATAAAATAACTTGAGACTGCTGTAATTATTTATAAAATTTTTATAAATACTTATAAAAATAACTGCTATAATTATTTATATTAACTTGACAGTCAATTATAAAAGGTGATACTTTGTTACAGCGGGCCCACCAGCGGCCGAGCGGTAAAATCGCTGAACACTGGTAGTTCGGTCCGAGGTTCGAATCCCGCGAACGGGCTGGCTGCATGGGCGTTTTCGTGGTTTTCCCCATGTGTAACGTGTATACGAGCCAGTTTCCCTTAAAAAGTCCTCCACGAAGACATCCCTCCTCTTAGGCAGATAGCCCTCGAGGCTTTGCTATAATCACACACACACACACACTTTGTTGCAGCGGCTTAAATCTGTTTCCAGATAACGTAACTCCTGAAAAAATTACTAATCGTCAATACCACTCATGTAAATCATTCGTTATTTATTAACTCTAAGTCTATTTCCAGGTAACGTAATATCTGAAAAAATTACTAATAGTCACTATCACTCATGCAAATCATTCGTTAATTAGTTACTCTAAATTTGTTCCCAGATAATGTAATCTATGAAAAAATTACTAATCGCCATTATCACTAGTGTAAATCATTCGTTAATTATTAACTCTAAATCCCAGGGAACGTAACCTCTGAAAAAATTACTAATCGTCGCTATCACTCATGTATATTATTCGTTAATTATTTACTCTAAATCTGTTTCCAGATAACGTAACTCTTGAAAAAATTACTAATCTTCACTATCACTCATGTAAATCATTCGTTAATTATTAACTTGAAGTCTGTTTTGAGGTAACGTAACCTCTGAAAAAAATACTAATCGTCATTCTCACTTGTGTAAATCATTCGTTAATTATGTACTCTAAATCTGTTCCCAGGGAAGTAATTTCTGAAAAAATGATTAATCGTTACTGTCACTCATGTAAATCATCGTTAATTATTTACTCTAAATCTGTTTCCAGATAACGTAACTCCTGAAAAAATTGCTAATCGTCAATATCACTCATGTAAATCATTCGTTATTCGACCATCTTTGGCGATTTTAGATTTGCGCTAAGATCTCAGCTATAATTTCGCCAAGCTCGTGAGGCGCGAATGTATAAGTAAACAACACAATACATAATAATAACGGTAATACTCACGTGTCGTTTCCTAAGAATATTTTTAAGAATCCTTATCCTTATCGTTATTATTTTATCGCATATAATTGTTCCAGTCAACTGCAGATCTTTCACATATATTAAAATGTTCGTTACACCATTACATGGACGTCAACTCCTCTGCCCAAGAATACGTAAATCTAATAGCAGCGGCGAACGGTATTCCGGAACCGTTGAACCAATTTCTAATTACGGAGACCTTTCTTCTGTACAATTTTTAACAATGCAACTATGAATCGTTTCGTCGTTAATGTAAAGTTTCATGTTGTGGCCATTTTCGCATACTCGTTTGTCAGGTAAAAGACCTCTTTTTTGAAAACCTGATGTCGCATCCACCTCATTACTTGGTAAATTAAAGATTGTTAACCTCATATTCACAAAAAAACGCTATCTGTATATTTTTAAATAAACAATTCGAATTCGAAAACCTTGAATAATACTAGAACACGCTCCCAGAGCAAAAATGCAGCAGAGTGCTAATATACCATCACATGGCGAGGAATAAGAATGCACAGCCAAATTTTGGCGAGATATCTTGGTTCATTGGCGATTCAGTTTCGGGAGCGTAAGAAAGAAGTACCTTAAAACTTATATATCTACATAATTATTGGAGGTGCCAAGCCAACAAGAATCGGCGTCATTTTTATAAATTTGCAGGATTAGTTTCAAATGTTTAAATATAGAAACTTCTTCAGTTGCAGAGGCGAAAATGATGAAATTGACACCTCTGCTAAAGCAGTAGCAATATGAGGAAGAAATTCAAGCTACTGCCATCATCTATTGATGAAAATGAAAACTATAAGATACTTTCCTTAAAAGGTGGGGGTAAAGACGAATTGGAACTGGGATCGTTAACTAGATTTGAAAGATCCTTACGAATGTGAAAGGGCCTTTAGAAAATCTAATGCACCTGGTCCTGGTCTAGAACTGAGAATGCAGTTAAATGTTTAAATTCTATTACCACCCCCAGTAATCGTTATTTGGCGTGTTATTTTAATTCAAATTTTTATGTTATGAATTATTTCTTTTTCAATGTAATTTAAATCTTAATAATTGTCTTTCCAGACGGAGTACAAGTACTGCTATGATTTGCTTCTGAATTATATCATGAACTACCATCATAAGGGCTGAAATACAGATGAGTCCCTCCATGTTCAACCAATGACCAACAAGCAGAAATAATTTCTCGAATCTCGGTGCCTACAAAAGAGCGAACAGCGTACATCCCAGAGGAGATTCGATGCCCTCGATCCCCAGTTATCCAAGGGTCCACTTCTACACATTTATTATTCCTATATTTTTTCTGCATTTCCTTTTTTAAACGTACTGCCCGGGGTCGTGTTCTGCAATAAACCCTGGTTTCACGAATGATGTCAGAACGGTGCAAGTTATATGAACTGTTGCAAATGGAAGGTTGATGTGTAGTTGTTATCAGCACTTGACTGTGCAAAGTGTGAAGCAAAGTGTTTTATATAATTTCATTTTCTTTGTTCATACCAAAAATCTATAAGCAAAAATGAAAAAATTCTATAAAATTTCTTAGAGTCAAAAATAACTTTAAAATGTTTTACAGAATTATAGACACGAACTTTAGACTATTTTATCTTTTATATTGCATTCCTTTATTAATTAATAATTTATAGTAAATAATTTTTCAAATAGATAACTCTAGGAAAAACTACTAATCATCACTATCTCTCATGCGAATCATTCGTTAATTATCTACTCTGTTTTCAGACAGATAACCTATGAAAAGATTACTAATCTTCACTATCATTCATGTAAATCATTCGTTAATTATTAACTTGAAGTCTGTTTCGAGGTAACGTAACCTCTGAAAAAAAAATACTAATCATTCACTTGTGTAAATCCTTCGTTAATTATGTACTCTAAATCTGTTCCCAGGAAAGTAATTTCTGAAAAAATTATTAATAGTCACTGTCACTCATGTAAATCATCGTTAATTATTTACTCTAAATCTGTTTCCAGATAACGTAACTCCTGAAAAAATTGCTAATCGTCAATATCACTCATGTAAATCATTCGTTATTTATTAACTCTAAGTCTATTTTCAGGTAACGTAATATCTGAAAAAAGTACTAATAGTCACTATCACTCATGCATATCATTCGTTAATTAGTTACTCTAAATTTGTTCCCAGATAATGTAACCTATGAAAAAATTACTAATCGCCATTATCGCTCGTGTAAATCATTCGTTAATTATTAACTCTAAATCCCAGGGAACGTAACCTCTGAAAAATTTACTAATCGTCGCTATCACTCATGTAAATCATTAGTTAATTATTAACTTTAAGTCTGTTTCGAGGTAACGTAACTCCTGAAAAAATTACTAATCGTCAGGATCACTCATGTAAATCATTCGTTATTTATTAACTGTAAGTTTATTTCCAGGTAACTTAATATCTGAAAAAATTACTAATAGTCACTATCACCCATGCACATCATTCGTTAATTAGTTACTCTAAATTTGTTCAAAGATAATGTAACCTATGAAAAAATTACTAATCGTCATTATCACTCGTGTAAATCATTCGTTAATTATTAACTCTAAATCCCAGGGAACGTAACCTCTGAAAAAATTACTAATCGTCGCTATCACTCATGTAAATCATTAGTTAATTATTAACTTTAAGTCTGTTTCGAGGTAACGTAACTCCTGAAAAAATTACTAATCGTCAGGATCACTCATGTAAATCTTTCGTTATTTACTAACTCTAAGTTTATTTCCAGCTAACTTAATATCTGAAAAAATTACTAATAGTCACTATCACCCATGCAAATCATTCGTTAATTAGTTACTCTAAATTTGTTCAAAGATAATGTAACCTATGAAAAAATTACTAATCGTCATTATCACTCGTGTAAATCATTCGTTAATTATTAACTCTAAATCCCAGGGAACGTAACCTCTGAAAAAATTACTAATCGTCACTATCACTCATGTAAATCATTCGTTAATTATATACTCTAAATCTGTTTCCTGATAACGTAAATCCTGAAAAAATTACAATCGTCACTATCACTCATGTAAATTATTCGTTAATTATTTACTCTGTTTTCAGAAAAGGTAACCTCTGAAAAAATTACTACTCATCACTATCACTCATGTAAATCATTCGTTAATTATTAACTCGAAGTCTGTTTCCGGATAACGTAATCTCTGAAAAAATTACTATCACTCATATAAATATTTCGTTAATTACTTACTCTATATCTGTTTCCAGATAAGGTAACTCTCGAAACAATTACTAATCATCACTATCAATTAAGTAAAATACAATTTACTTAAAAGCTTCCTACCATTGACTTTGCGTTTCTGTTTTATCAGTTGGTAAGAATGGTTAGTACGACTGAAACTGAATTGTGATAAGATTTTCTTCGATCTCTTATTACTAATCGCACGATGTAGATAGTATAAATGAAAAACGAATATAATGCATGGAAACATGCTAAAATAGTTTTTTTAGTCAATTTACAAAGCACTTTTATAGCTCTTGTAGATTTATATACGTACTTAGTACAGCAAACATACAATAAAATGTTCTATTTGTTATACTGATGCACACTGCGTAAAAGGTGTACATATTTACGGTAAAATATTACAACTTTATAATAATTTACTGCAATAACTAAACTTAAATCAATAGAACAATAACACTAAAATCGGCTTTCATTCCAAAAAGACATGAAAAATTATTGAGTTTTATTAGTCTAACTTTTTTTTAAATATTCTTGAGGCTCAAACATAGCTTTATAATGTGATGAGGTCTCTCCGCAAGTCTTTTAAAAATATTAAAAAAAAAGAAAATACCTCTTAACTATATCAGTGTAATTACATCTCTTAACTATGTCTATTATATTGTTAAACATATCTATAAACTTCCTAAGAATAGATTCATTGAGCTAATAATTAATCCGTTCTTAGGAAAAAAAATCCTATTATATTTATTGTAACATTGTTTATTATTATACGAATGCAAGAGGTGAAGTATATATGTTATGGTGAAACACCGAAATCTGGAGAATGTCGACTTTCACCGGTGAATGTCAACATTCACATAGTCTCTTGGTGTATGTCCGAAATATTTTCCAAATACTCTTATTTCTGACTTACACCGGTCAATGTCGACATTCACCGTGTACTAATGGCGAATGTTGAACATATAAGAATAATATATTTCCTTCTCCGTTATTCATTCGCGAAAAAACGCACTTGAGACTCAGAATAAGAACTTAAGAACATAAGAACTTAAACACACAGTACATTCAAAATGAGAAAGGAAAATAATAGAAGTTATAAACTTACCAAATTATGTGATTCAAATCTTATTTATTGCAACAAACTATTATGACACTTTGAATTGCACAAGAGGCCCTTGCTTTTACAATTGCATTTATTTGTGGAACACTTTCTTTTAGAATGGCAGCGTGTACATATACTCCTCTCTTTTCGACCTACACCAGAGCATATCTGTGATTGTCGATATACACCGGTGAGGGTCCGAATGTACAAGAATGTAAAGAAATATTCGATCTTTCACCGACGTATTTGGTGAATGTTGACATTCTCCGGTGAAAGTCGACATTCTCCAATTTCGGTCTTTCACGGTAACATATACACTATACACTGACTCCATAATAGTCTTTATGAGCCCTTTTCACTTCTATGTTTTGGTTAGTTGGTGTATACAGTGGTACCTCCATATACATCATTAATCTGTTCCGATTTTTTGACATATACCAAGCAAGTTTTCCAATAAAAAGTAAAGAGAAAATGTCTGAAAGCTTTCAGATTTTATATTAAGCCCAAACGAGCATCTTTTTAACACTTTGTGCGTTACCTTTATTTATTATGTTCTTTGTACTTAAACCATAAAATGCAATTCAGCAGCAATATCACAAAATATTTAAAAACAGCATATTTTCAGAATTTCCGATACACAGTCTCGCGCGCTGCAGATATTTTTTATTATTATTATTACAGTGTTGTCATTGCTCGATATGAAATCGTTGAGTTTGTTAATCAACAATTTCTTAAGGTTTCACAAAATTCGAAGTAGATAGACAAACAAATTCGAAATTTAAACTACGGGCATCCAAGTGCCCATGTTCGAGTGGAGGACTACGTTATTCAAAATGTAGCTTCTTTAAATATAATACATGGCGATAATATTTGATGGCAATAGTTTGAAAAGTGAACCAACGCAGAAAGTAAAACTACGCAAAATGCCGTTTTGAGACTAATAACGCTTTGGGTCTAACGCCCCTTTGGGCTAATAATTAATCGGTTCTTAGGAAAAAAAAAATCCTATTATATTTTATTGTAACATTGTTTATTATTATACGAATTAACATTGTTTATTATTATACGAAACAATTATACGAATGCATTGTTTATTATTATACGAATGCATTGTTTATTATTATAGGAATGCATTGTTTATTATTATACGAATCCTATTATATTTACTGTAACATTGTTTATTACATACTGTGCATAAATGAAACACTGCACGTGATACTGTACATAAATTTTTTTCAGCTATCCAGATCAGAAGATATTTTTCGACATGCTCTAACGCTCTAATCTTTGTTTAACAATAGATTTCATCTCTTTTGTAACTTTTTTTCTCTTTTGTGTTTGTTTGCCTCAACTGTAGACACCATCCTCCTCGGCATACAGTATACGATAACCAGGTCCCAGATACGCATGCGTTCTTTATACTTCCCAGCAGCCCTTTTTTCAACTCCTCTGTGATCCTAACAATTTTCGTCGTTGTTTGAATCTTCTCATTAACTTTCTTAAGCTCATTGCTAATGAATTTACGAAACATGTCCGCGAAAAAACACAAAATCACATGGAAATTCGGAGTTACAGCGTAGGCTGTTTACAGAATAGTAACAAAAGTGAAACTCATACTCATGGACAGTCGAAGCTTTGTCTTGAAAGAGGTGAACCAATGTGTTGGGAGCAGATTCGTGACTCATCGAACTCGAGTTCGAATTCCAAATAAATATCGTACCTGTACCACATAAAAATTCTCCTATGCAAACAAACAGGGCGTATTACAAAGCGGATGTGTACCGAGGCGCCACTGTACTTTCAATTGCAAAAATGTTCTAAATAGCACAAAGGTTCCCATTTTAAAATTTTTTAATTTAAGATCATTTTTCTAAAAATTACGAAATCTGATATTCTTTCCTGTCTTCGTCATATGTAGTCACATTCAGCAAAACGTTTATATTTATTTTAAAAACTAAAACACAAAGGAAAAAAAATGGAGCACAAATTTAGAATGTTTAAAGCAGACTTTTACGCTCGCTGAGTGTAACTACCATTCTGAAGAAATATCAGAAATAATAAATATCGTTTTTCAGTTCATTGCTCCATTTCAAAAACCCACAAATTAACAATTTCCGAATCAGCAAACGCTTTTGATGACGTAATCTGTCGTTTAAGGACTTCATTCTGGTTTAAAAAAAAAATCTATTTCATTAACATTTAATTTTGTAAAACATTGT